CTCTACAGAACAGAACTAACACTGTGCAGATTAGAACTAACACTCTACAGAACAGAACTAACACTGTGCAGATTAGAACTAACACTCTACAGAACGGAACTAACACTGTGCAGAATAGAAGGTATAAATTAGATATAACGTGTAATAAAATAGAACTAACAAGCCATCACAAACTACAGATTAGAACTAACACTCTACAGAATAGAACTAACACTGTATAAATTAGAACTAACACTCTACGGAACAGAACTAACACTGTGCAGATTAGAACTAACACTCTACAGAACAGAAATAACTTAGTATAAATTAGGTTTATAATGTGGTATAAATTAGAACTGACATAAATTAGATATAACGTGGTATAAATTAGATATAACGTGTAATAAAATAGAGCTAACAAGCCATCACACGCAACAGAATAGAACTAACACTCTACAGAATAGAACTAACACTCTACAGATTAGAACTAACACTATGCAGATTAGAACTAACACTCTACAGAACAGAACTAACACTGTGCAGCTTAGAACTAGAACATAACTAACACTGTGCAGATTAGAACTAACACTCTACAGAATAGAACTAACACTGTGCAGAATAGAACTAACACTCTACAGAACAGATCTAACATGTTATAATATATAACTAAAAGGGTGCAGATTGGAACTAACACAACATTTGTAACAAACTGTTTGGTGGATAAGCAAAATTTAACAAGAAAAAACACGCAATGATGCCAGGTCTTCATTTGTTGCTGCCCTCGCTGGATCGGTTTGGGTCTAATAAACCCTTTTCGCTGTCACTCGCCTTCCTTTTCGAAGGTCTTGGCTTACTACGCTTTAAGGAAGGAGAACTGGATCCCGCTGAGCTATTGTGGGAGACGACGGGGTTTAAAGGGAGAGGAACATTGCCGGTAGGGAGAGCCCTTGGAGAATTGGCACCCCCGACCCCTTGGTTACGGAGAAACAGCTACCATTGGTCTCTCTCGACCATCATGTGGACACCACCCCAACTAACCTCAATTAACTCGGGTTCGGCCCTAAAGGGCTGCGCACGCTGGGGCCCTAAGTTGAGTCGTGTGGATCCCTGAGCCCTCTCCAAATCCCCCCCCGCTTTGGACCTGCGTGATGGCGTATCCTTCCCTAGCGTTACCGTCCACCGGCGAGATGTAACGGAACCCAAGCCTCTTAGGGATTTCAGATAAATCCCTAACCTTGAGTAGAACTCTACAGTCTTTGAAGTTAGAATGTGTTATGATGTCCCTGGAGTACATGACACCTTCACTGATACCAATGAGCAGAGATTGAAGAAATTCAAAATTCCAGAGGTGGTATGGGAGATTGAATAGGCGAATCCATACTAGAAAGGGTTGAGGCAACATTGTTAGCCTCAGATCCTCTTTCCAACGGCAGAATCTGCCCTTAAATGTGCCCATATCTATCAAACCGAGTTCAATAGCTTGGGCAAGAACTTCATCAGATGGAAACTGCACCATGAAGCTGTTCCCTGCCGCCTCCTTGATTTGATGGGGCCATGTCCTAAGATTGAAGCGGTAGGCCAGCATCTCTCAGAGCTCCTGCACAGATGGACGGCCTCTATCAAGATTGAAGATGGCGTAAGAAGAAAGATGACGTATGGTGCTGGAGGTGTTGGCCGGGATGGTAAGCATCCTCGGAGGGGCACGAGCGGTAATTCCATGATGACAATCTCGAGAGCTATGTCATGTCCCATGGCAGTGTACACAAGAAGGATCCCCAGCCATTTGTGAGGGTATACGATGAAAATAGATGACGCTGGGTTGTGGTTTTTAGCAGGGGGAGGGGTTTGCAGAGGCGCCTACGCTGGGGCCAGTAGAAGAAAGGTGGTGACCGTACCTATCGATGGAAGTTCGTATTAGGTATTTAAGTTAATTAATTTATTTAACTGACTTGGGAACACGCGAATATATGATGTGACATGTTTGTGTGATGGAACCGTCGCTTCGAAAGAAGTGAGCAGCTGGAGGTCTGAAGATAACTTAAATAATTAAAAAATTAGAACTGGCTCTGAGATAGAACTAACGAGCATGGTACAGAATAGAACTAACGTTGAATGAGTTAGAACTAACGAGCATCACTAGAACGAACATGGTACAGATAGAACAATACATCTGATAACAATCATTTTCAATTACTTAAATATACATACATTATTGTATTTGTATGAACATATCATTCGTCACTATACACTGTTTCTTCTTTATGTCTTTGTTCAAAACCAGCCAGTAATAATTGTGCGGCAAGTCTTGCTCGCATAGCTTCAGGGATATCGTTCGGAGGATTAACCAGCAATGTTGATCGTCCTTCAATTATGGATTTTACAAAGAGGTAGACGAACACACCACAGTCAAAGCTGCAACATAGAGTGAGTTCATTAGACATTTTCGGTCCGTTCGAATACTATAACACAAATTAACACAATATAGACATCGGAACTAACTATCCTCTTTGTTGCTCGCATTTGATGGCTTGATATCTAAATATTTGGCGCATATTATCTTCAATAAAATAAGCATGATGGGCATCAAAGAAGTTTATGATTTTATTAACAGGCTCCATCCAAGCTTCGTGCCCAGCGGAGCTGTAATGCTTGACGACTTTATCTTTAAGGTCAACTTCTACAAGATGCCAATGATCGTGCCTGGCCAAAGGGATCAAGAGATACTCTATGCGGAATGCGGTATATTTGTCAATGAAGTTCAAATATAGCTCGTAATTGTTCAATTCAAAGCCATAGAGTGAGTGCTGCAAACACATCATGTTTGAGTTGAAATTAAAACAAACATGAGCTGCGAAGGCTAACTAACACCGTATTAATTAGAACTAACACGCTACAGAATAGAACTAACACTGTGCAGAATAGAACTAACACGCTACATAATAGAACTAACGTTCTACAGAATAGAACTAACACTGTACAGACTAGAACTAACACTGTGCAGATTAGAACTAACACTCTACAGAATAGAACTAACACTGTGCAGATTAGAACTAACACTCTACAGAATAGAACTAACACTGTGCAGATTAGAACTAACACTCTACAGAATAGAACTAACACTGTGCAGATTAGAACTAACACTCTACAGAATAGAACTAACACTGTGCAGATTAGAACTAACACTCTACAGAATAGAACTAACACTGTGCAGATTAGAACTAACACTCTACAGAATAGAACTAACACTGTGCAGATTAGAACTAACACTCTACAGAATAGAACTAACACTGTGCAGATTAGAACTAACACTCTACAGAACGGAACTAACACTGTGCAGAATAGAACTAACACTCTACAGAATAGAACTAACACTCTAAAGAACGGAACTAACATGACTTATGGTAGGTCTAATTTGATGCTAACTAGAACTAACGTGACTCATGGTATAACTAGCATGGATTACACAAGATCTAACATGAATTTCAATCAAAACTAACGTGGTGAAATTAGGAATAGCATGTTCTTACAAGAAAGAACACCGATACCACTCCATATCCTTTGCCGTATGCCTCCTGGCTAATCGTGTCCAAAACTGCTTCTTCCACCTGTAATTGTTATGAAACATTAAAATTCAATTTAAACAATATAATTTGAATTATTAAGGAAGTATATGTTAACCTTGTCGTCAAGGCGGCCACCACGAAGCACATATAACAACTCTTCCCTGTTAATAGTGCTGTTGGTTGTTACTATAACATTATATCTCCTGGTATAAATTAGAACTAACATGAATTAGAACTAATATGTGGAGAATTAGCATATAAATAGTCAACTGAAACTTACTTGTGAATCTTCTGAGAACAAAATTTGGTTAGGCTATCAATTTCAGCTTTGTCGAGTCTTTCTGCTACGGGAGATGGTATCTTTAAATTATGTACAAAAGCACCTGTGCTATCTATTATGCGTAAGTTAAACAATGTAGGGTCTGGAAGCTCATTATTCAGCTCTCCCAATAGAGCTTCCTCTTCATCTGTCATTGGCTTCATACTCAGCGCATCAAAAGTGGGGATTTGAATACCGGGGTAAAAATGAGTAACTTTTTCAGCTAGTTTTACTTTTGCTTCAGAACTTTCAAGTATATCTATACTAATTTTTTCCTTTTTCTTTATTTTGCCTTCAGTATATGGTGTCCTCTTTCATTTAGATCTCCTGCTTACCCTTTTTGCCTTTGGTCTACGCTTTGCTTCCACATTGCTCGTTAGAACATCTACAAGTTTGTCCACATCATGTTCAATATTCACAAGATCCTCTTCCTCCTGTGCTTCCAACTTATCTACATTCTCCTTGCCTTTATCTACAATATCTTCATCCTTATCTATACCATCAACAGTATCCTCATCAAAACCTTTGTTATCTACAATAAAATTTTCATTTTCCATATGCTCCTCTTCCTTATCTACCATATGCTCCTCTTCCTTATCTACCATACGCTCCTCTTCATTATCTCTTCATTATCTACAATATCTTCCATATGCTCCTCTTCCTATCTACCATATGCTCCTCTTCCATATCTACAATATGTTTCATATGCTCCTCTTCCTTATTTATACTATCCTCAACCTTAGTATCTACAGTCTGGTCAACCTTACTATATACCCCCTCCCCTGGAGAAGTAACTGGCTCCTCTTCTATTGCCTCATCGTCAGCAGGATGCTTTACATCCTCTTCAACAATCTTATGTACATGTTCTTGACTGGTGGGCTCTTCCTTATATACACTGCTTGTTTTGGACTTCTGTTCCTCTTGAGCTCCCTGTCGCTTCTTCCTAATTTCATTTGCAATTTTCTGTTTGATATTTGACTTAAGCAGCACTGGGTCTATAACCTCATCATGTCTTCCACATTTTTCAATTATCCTGTTAAGCCTGTTGATCTCAATCATGAATTCTTTGCAATATTTGCTCTTGGTCTGCTTTGTAGCATCAAGAAGTCGCTTGAGAAATTTAGCAGAATTCTCCAAAATGTGAGTTGCTGCTCAATGGGAAGAACATTGATCTCCTCTTCATCGTCAAAAGCAACGTCAATATGCTTTGCCATGATCTGTTATTGATACAAGATTATAATTTTAAGTAGGATTAAACATAATTAGGATATTCTTTGCAGTTAGTGTGAAATGAGTACGACTTAACATAACAGGATACTTACGTAACCTATTGAGAAGTTCTTAGTAGTTTCTTCCTGCAAAGCCTTTCTCTTTGCCTGACGCTTTTGCTGAAGAACTTCATCCCTCTGTTCAGCGGGAAGTGGATGAACATGACCAGGAGAAGCGACCTCCGCAATAGGCCTATGGACAAATGTTATTGACGCTGACTTAGCCTTTGAAATAATTGTCGGCATCCTCATAGATGCGATTCTCTCCTCCCCTAATGCCCAATTTGTCATTGGAGGTCTGGAGGTGTCTAAGAGGGCATATTTTTTTATGCCTGTCATCTCGTAGTACCAAAGCTGTACCAAATAATATATTTACCATTAACATTTAATACTAGACTAGACTAAAGAGAATAAAATATGGCTGCATCTAGAACTAACATGGTGTAAATTAGTACGTGGTACGACATGAATTATGATAGAACTAACATGACCTATGATAGAACTTAAATGGGTGCAGATAGAACTAACACTCTACAGAATAGAACTAACACTGTGCAGATTAGAACTAACACTCTACAGAATAGAACTAACACTGTGCAGATTAGAACTAACACTCTACAGAATAGAACTAACACTGTGCAGATTAGAACTAACACTCTACAGAATAGAACTAACACTGTGCAGATTAGAACTAACACTCTACAGAATAGAACTAACACTGTGCAGATTAGAACTAACACTCTACAGAATAGAACTAACACTGTGCAGATTAGAACTAACACTCTACAGAATAGAACTAACACTGTGCAGATTAGAACTAACACTCTACAGAATAGAACTAACACTGTGCAGATTAGAACTAACACGCTACAGAATAGAACTAACATAGAATAAGTTAGAACTAACAATGCATAGGTACGAATTAGAATGAAACAAGATCAGTAAAATATGGAACTTACACACAATAGTGTCATGCAACCTGGGACATATGCGACCTTTTGCTTCTTCTTTCCCTCCAAAGCAACTCCAATGCCCCTGATAATTTCATTATAAAAGAACGGGGCCCATGCAACAGAATTGACCCTCTGAATGCTATCCAGGTACCTGAGTAAGGGTCTAGGGATACCTTCCCCTGCTATGGGACTCCATATCATAGAGCATTGGTACAAAATTTGTAGCAGAGCAAAATCCTCGATATCCCGCTTTTTGGTAGATTCAACAAGCCGTTCAAGTAGCCCTTCAAGATGTTTACGTTGGCTGGTTTCTGATTTTTTTAACTTCTTACCCTCTTCAGAAATGAAAAGCTTAGCGAAGTATCCCAGCCATATTCTGCTTCTTGAGTCCCTATTGTTCCTTATGTCCTCCCCATAAATTGGGAAATAAGTATGGTTGTGGACCCATTGCAAATCAAAACTAACATTTTTCATACCCCCACTTTTTGAATCAGGTATACAAAAGGTGTTATTATCTCTATCGAAAAAGCTCAGCAGCAGCTCAAGGGTGGGCCGATCAGGCGCAGGAGCCCCAAACAAAATGTAGTGCTGAAATATAGAACCGCAGTATGCATCCCTATGCCAGTGACGGATCTTCGGGGAAATGCGCTTCATAAATTAACCTTAGTGTTTCTGCTGAGCCTGTTAGAGCAATTTTTTTCCTGCAAAAAATTTTCGTAACACGTAGTGTTATAGAACTAACAATGGACTCAAACTAGAACTAACATTGGACAAAGCCTAGAACTAACAATATTAGACCTAGCACTAACGGGAACAAAATAGAGCTAACACGTAATATTATAGAACTAACATTGGACTCATATTAGAACTAACATTGGACTTAAACTAGATCTAACGTTGGTATAAATTTAGAACTAACATTGGACAAAGCCTAGAACTAACAATATTGGGTTAATCTGCATTGTCTCTTCGCAGTATAACATAAGCCTAGAACTAACAATATTGGGTTAATCTGCATTGTCTGTTTGCAGTATAACATAATACTTACTGGTTTTTTGAGGGGGATTCGTTGGTACGACCAGCCATTGTCGTCCTCCTTTTCTGGTCTCGCCATTGTAATGCCTCCTTTTGCATTTCGATTAGGGTTTTTGTAGCTTCCGTAGCTTCCTCCGTGCTGCCACCCGTAGATGAAGCGCCGTTTCCTTCCAACTCGGCTCGGTGCCCGACCTCGTAGTCGTTACTGGATTCTTTCGTAGATGACATTTTTCCGGCGAAAACCCTAGAAACGTTGAAATCCGTACAGAAATTAGGAAGATGAAGAGTTCTTGATGACGGTGCTAGGTGGAAGAGAGAGAAAGAGAGGGAGAGTACTTGTAAAGGTGAGGGGCACATTAACCCAGCTCAGGAAGAGATATTATTGATCCATGTAATATATCCTAGGACTTATGTAGAGTCAAGCATGTAGAGAATATGAAGTCCAAATCAACTTCATAGTGTGTGTGTATATATATATCTGTGTGTGTAATATCCCTAATTTTCTATTGATAATAGGTCTAGTTTTATAAATTGATTTATTAGATATTCAAACAATTGGGTTGACTATATTAATTTATAAATATGATATTACATGAGGGCTTTTATGTTTATATTAATAGTATCTATATATTTATGTTTGTTAAGGGGTTTTTGTAAAGGAAATTGGCTAGGGGATTTATTGAAAATGGAAAAACTAATAAATTGAAAAAAAAACCTAGTAGTGTTCGTCCAGAAGCCACAGCCAAAATTGGCCATAGAAGAAAAGCGGAAAAAAAGAGGCGCTATGAAACTTTGTTGAAGGTGGTTAGCGGTAATTTGATCATCCTTACAAAAGGAACAAGGTAAAATACATCTCTATCTCTTCTTCTAACAATTTTTATATGACATGTGGTATGTATGGTTCTCATGTTTGTGAAAGAGACACATTGATCCTAAATTATTTAGGTTGATATCAATTGATTTACATAACTAGATGGGCTAGTTAATTGTCTTCTTAGTTATGATTGTACAAAGTGAGAATCATCCTGATCAATGTTAGTTTCCTAGGTTAATCGAAACGAATCATACCAAATAGGCAACGTAAAGAGGTGGCCAAGTATTTGTGTAGGTGCAGCTAGGCTCTAGTTTTTTTTTAATTTAGTATTTATTATAAGATATTATAAAAATACAGAGTGCGGGGATGGCGAATAGTATACTAAGATAGTTATTTTAAATGATACAGATTGATCGAAAGACTAGCATTAATGTATATCATGATAACTATTTGTTAAGAGTTTTTCTATAGAGTGTCCATGGGCACTCTATAAGAGAGGAAATTAAGAGATAGAGAGAAGTGAATTGCCCATGGGCCCTCCTGATTTGTACTAAATTCTATGGGCATGTCACTTCTCTCTATCTCGCTCCTCTCTTATAGAGTGCCCATGGGCACTCTATAGAAAAACCCATTTGTTAATTAGTATTAATGATTGCTTGTATTTGTTCCCTAGGAATTCGTAGAGTTTCCGTAAAGGCGTCAAGTGGATCTTTGGATTATCAGTTGGTATTTCTGTAAGTGGTGAATTTGTACATTATTTCGCTGCGTATTTTTCATATAAAATTACATTGACTATATGTAAGTTTGTTCTGATGGATTATATCCTTTTGTACGGATGCTCGCATACAAATCGCTGATTGGATTGATGCACTGGGTATTTGGTATAAGCCTATGGTTATTTTATTTATCAATACTTATGTCTTGTTATATAGGAGGTTGAGATGCATATGTGGTAAATTTTACTATTGGTTGGCCTTTGGCATTTCTATATAACATATTTGGTTATATGTACTTTGTTCATTTTTTTACATATGCATCTCAAGTCAATATACCTATATATGTTGGATATAAGTAAGTCATTAAAATAGGACTCAATATGTCTCTATGATGTTTTTATTTTAGCACTAAGAGCCCAAATTTAGGTCTCACCGGCCCGACCACTCGCTATAAAATAGTGGGGTTTGCCAAGTCAACTGAAGTATCGAAGTGTTGACCACATTGAGACATTACCTGCTTATTTTCATTGCATGTATATATTTTTAAAAAAATGTTACATTATGATTTTCTACTATCTTAATTTTTTGCTTATCAAGTCAAATTATTTTAGTTTTACAAAAGCAATGTTTAATGTATGAATTTATCCACTTATTGAGTTGTAAACTCATTGTGTTGTATTTATTCTTTTTAGAGACTCGGGATTAGATGGAATTGATGATTTCCAAATTCTTAGAATGGAGCAAGGAATAAAATTCGAGATTGCTATTGTCTTCTGGGTGAATGTTAAATAAAGTCTTTGATGTTTAGTTGATAATTTGAGAGTTTTGTAATAATGAGATTCTTTCCTTTAGGTCAAGTTATATTTCAAGTTGAGGAATATTTGTTTATATCAAGTTAATTGGATTAATGTTGACTTTTGGATTATATAAAATATTTATTGTTGGTTTTAGTTCAATGAAGAGATAATTTTTGATGATCTTTTGATGAATATAGATTTTCAGAGAACTTTTTACGGGTTTAGTCCGGCTCTAGTATTCCTTTTATGTTTGAAAATTGGGGTCGTGACAGAATGGTATCAGAGCTTAGGTTGTAGGTCCTAGTTGAATTTAGAGATGATTAAGTAATGAAAGAGAAATTTATTAGATTTTGATACATAGAAATGAAAGTTGATGTTATTTTGAAGTCTTATAGTGGACAATATGAATATTATTGAATCAAAATAAATTATAGAGCTATATGATTTTAGAATAATGGATTACCTAATTACTTTTAGTTACCTAATTCCTTTCAGTTTTGTTTTCTTAAGGATAAATGGATTAGTTCAGGTTAGTTGAAGGCATGTTTGATATATGTGATTGATGATAATAGTATCTCATAATATATGCTATTATGATAAGCAATATGTCATGAATTAGCAATTGAGCATTAATGTGATTAAACTTTCATGCTAAACATATTTGTTTTTGGTGACGTTAGATTATGATGGCTCGTGATATGTCATTTGACATTTATAGAAAAGAAACTTGATGGTTTATTTTGAGATATTGTAATAAATAGTATGCTAACTTAGTTGGTCAAATGATTATAAAAAATTCTCTGTGTGAATTCAACTTAAGAGTTATAGACTTTATAAATATGGAACATTATGGGTTTCTTTTAGTATTAATATTCCTGGAGCTACAGCTTTAGCAGGGGCAGCCTAAGTCAAGGTGAAAATTTGAGGATATTATTCAATTGTTAGCTTGCGTACTATTATAATTTTGAGTATTTCATAAATTAATTATTACTAATGATTGATATAATGAATTATGATACTCTTCTTTTTTATGACAGCAGCTAGATGGGAATGCATCAGCAGATTTCATTGATTTTGTGGATGAGGTAGTACGGTCTAACCGGATCAATTTGTAGTGATCTCTTGGATGATGTATAAATAGTTTTCTTTTAATAATCAGGAAGGGCAAAGAAATACTTGAGGATTATTCTTTTGCAATGTCAAAATCAAGCTAAATCGATATATGAAGTTACTAAATATGAATTTTGATCAAAGATTGTTGTTTCTTTTTTACTTTATTGCTGTACTGATAGCTCTCAATGTCTTTAGACCTATGTTGAATGTGATTTATTTTCAGTGGTCTAAGAAGTGCAAGATAAAATATCATGAGTTAAAGGTTGATTTGTGATTTATACTAATGCCTCTAGTGTTTGTTTTATGTGCAGTCTTATGCAAAATGGAAATTAGTAGCATATGCATCTCGACAAGTGAAGCTTAAAAACAAAATTATCTAGTATGTGATTTGGAGTTGGCCATTGTCATGATGATGTTGGATAGCAGTATTCCCAATCTATTAGGATTCCTAATCTATTTTGGTAACATGAGGTTATTAGGATTTCTAATTTGTTTTGTTTTTTGTTTTAGGATTCCTAGTCTATTTTGGTTTTAGTTTTTCTATATATATGGAGATTAGAATCAATCATCAAAATAGAGGAGAGTTGTAATTAGAGATATTACTCAGATTAGAGAGACTTTTGAGCATTGTGAGGGAGAGATATTGTGAGCAAGTTGAGAGCTTTGGTTGAGGGTTAGTTTATGAGTTTTGTGAGATTGTAACCCTTTGTACTCTCCTTGATTTAGTGTAATATCCACATCCTCTCCCCGTGGACGTAGGCCATTTGCCGAACCACGTAAAATTGGTTGGCTCGCTATTTGTGTGATTTGTAATAGCTTATTTAGGTTTCCTCGACAGGTCAGTCTTAGAACTGATGAGAGAAAGAGCTGATATCTCACTTAGTTGAGATATTTTACTTAAGTTTCTTATTTTCTTTGTGAAACGAGAATTCTTATTGCGACCTGACTCTCTTGTTGTGCTGTCAAAGTGCTGCCGAAATTTTCGCTGCGCGCAATAAGTGGTATCAGAGCCCAGATTTCAGATCTAGGGTTTTGGAATTAGGTGGAGAAAGATTCTTGTGTAAAGCTTGGTTCTTGGAGTTCTACGCTTCGATGGAGATAGCATTAGGAGTTACCGTTAGAGATTTCGCTTTCCTCGCGAGGACAAGAGATCTATTTGGAATCCGATCTAGGGTTTAG